TATTTTTTTTAAACGTTTAAAAGTAATAGAAACGATAATAAAAATAAGTAAGTTCTAAAAACAGAACTTGTTGAGAAATACCAACAAAATTAAAACTCCAGGCCCTCGCATCCTCTTCCCCCTTCCCTTCCCTTCCGATTCCCGCCCCTCCCCTCTCACTTCCATTCTGTCTTTTTCTTCTTAATAACTTTTACCTTCTTTTTCTTCTTCCACGTTGTTTCATCTTCTCCTTAAAAATTTTGTTAATTGACTTCCTAAATACGAAAAATCATTAAATAAAAATCATACGTAAGGTAAACATGAAAAATTTCTTTTCTTTTTTTTTTTGTTAATTTTATTTGACAGGATTTTTTTTATATTTTAGTCATTACCACCCTTTTTTGTAAAAAAAGTCACACGAAATTCACGTAGTGCGTGCGTGCGTGCGTGCGTGCGCGTGTTTTTTTTCGTAAATTTCAAAATGTATTAATGATTTGATCGAATGATTTTTGCGAATTCCTAGTAATAAATCGAAGATGAAAATTATTTTTTTGTTTTTGTCTTTTCGGTTTGTAATTTTTTTTTCCTCCACCGACAGGAGGAGTTTTCGTCGTTGCCCCCTCCCCCCCCTCGTTCGTCAGAAAAAATATTTTTTTTAAATGATAAAAAGAAGCTGTCGAATAATGATAAAAAAATAAAACGTGATAAAAACAAACATTTGATAAATATGTTCAATTATTTAAATTGAAAGTAAAATGAAATTTTCCTTATGCTTAAACATGAATTTAAATAATAAATAAATTAATATATATATATATATGTATACATAAAAACATTGAAAATTCAAAAATCTTTGAGTTCGTCAAACTAATTGAAAACACGAGGAAAAATAAATTCAATAGAAACTTTCATTTCCACACTAAAAAGAAAATTTTTTTTTTACGAGTTTGAAGGAAGGAAAAGGAACGCACACGCACACACACCAATTTATTCATCATTTGAAACTGAATAAATTCTTCATCATTTTCTAAAGTTTTAAATTGTTTTCAAAAAAAAAAAAAATTCAATAAGCTTTCAAATTTCTTTGTCTTAAAAAAAAAGGAAAAGGAAAAGGAAAAAGGAAAAAGGAAAAAGGAAAAGAAAAAGGAAAAAGTACAAAAGAAGGATTTTTTTTTGTGAAAAAAAAAAAAAAACATTTCAATACGTGGGAAATACGACAGATGCCATTTTATTTTTTATTTTTGCTGAGACTCAACTTCCTTCCTCCGTTTCCTTCCCAAACCCTTTTTACCCCTCTAAACTCCTTCATTCCTTCCTTCCTATTCTTCCTTGACTCCTCTCTTCTTAAACTTTCCAAATGCTTTTTTTTTTTTTTAAATTTTTAAGAAAAAAAAAAGCTGCTTATAATTTATAGGGCCGCACGAGAATCTTTCACCCCCTTCCTTCCTTCCTTTTTCCTCCCCCCTCTTAACATTTTTAAAAAAAAAAGAAAGTTAATGCTTTTGATTTTAACCGAAAAGAGTCGAATTGCATCAAAGGAAAAAGATGAAAAAAAAAGTTCAAATGGCGTGACGAGATGAAAAAAAAAAAAAAGGAAAAAAAAAGGTTAAAAGAAAATTTCGAAATTGATCAAGAAGAAAAAGAAAAAGAAGAAAAGGAAGAAAAAATTGAAATTAAATAAAATTGAAAACTGGTCAAAGAACCGATAAAATAAAAAAAATAAAGTTTATGATGATAAAAAAAAAAAATTATTTAAGAAAATTCTATAAAAAAAAATGAATAAAGTGGAAAACGTAAATGAGGTTGACGACGGGAAAAGAAAGAAAAACCGAAGGAAAAAAAAAAAATTTAAATATTTTAAACATTTTCGGACTTAGGAAAAAAAAGAAAAATTTTCTTCGATTTTCTTCCAACGTTTTTTTTTCTTTCCTTTGTCTTCCTTTTTTTTTTCTTTCACCTTGTAAACCAACCCCAATGGAAAATTTCTATTCGATTTCCCAATTAAAAGAATTTTACGAGAGCTTTTAACGGCTTCAAATCCCACGACGCATAAAATAGTAATTTGACCTTTTCAAATGATTCTATACGGCGGACTTTTCCGGGAAAACTTTTTGCGATAATTGAAAAAAAAATATATATAATAAAAATAATAATAATAATGATGATGATAATAAAAATAAAAAAATGGCGCCGTAAAATCGACGTGGCAAAAAAAAAACCATTTCGAATTTTTTTTTTTTTTAATTCAAAAAAAAAAAAAAAATTCCCGCCAAAATTGCACAACATAACAAACGTAAAAACCATTTCCCAAACGCACATACAAACACAAACGTTTGCCTAATAGACAAAAACAAACGAATTTTTTTTTTTTTGATAAAATTTTACCAGATTCTAAAAATGTTTGTTTGTTTTACGAAAAGAAAAAGAAATTTTCTTTATTGTTTATATTATAATAAATAATAACGTGAACATTAATCATGACAACAGCGGCGGTTTTACTACCCCACCCCCAGCCCTTTACCCCCCCACATCCGCCTTCCCTTTTCCCGCCCCCCAGTTCGTTCACACTCAAACCATTAATCTGTTTCAAAGGCGAAAAATTTTGTTGGAAAAAAAAAATATTACACTTTTTTTTCTTTTTTCTCCTCAAATGTATTGTCGAGATGTTCGAACAAACAAACAAAAAAACGATAAATTAACAAAACACAACCGTTTAAAAGAAAACATGAAAGAGAGGGGGGGGGGAAATAAAGAAAAATGATTTAATGTGAGATTTAAAATTAAAAGGGAAAAAAAAAAATTTTTTTTTCTCGGGGGAGGGGGGAAGAATTTTCCAAAAAAAAGGAAAACATCGTAAAAATTTTCAATCGACCACATGGGGGTGGGCGTTTTTTTTTTTTTAATATTAAAGAAA